ACCAAAAAAATTAAACACAATTTCATGTGAGCATTATCTAACTTGGATATGACTTATTACACTCAAAATAATCATACTTGCTATGATACAACTAAATGAACTAACTCTTTCTAAATAAACACATTGTAATAAAAAATATAGATGTTACATTTATGTTTATTACTTCTTATTTAGTTAGTGTTAACGCTATAATTCATTTCAACCAATCAGATTTTGACTTTTTCATAAATAAAGAAATCTGATTGGTCCTTAAAAACTTGAATTTAAATTTTCTATATCATTTTAATATAAATTAAAATAATATGAGAAAAAACACTACGAATTACCTTTAACAAATTACCTTTAACATAAAAAAAGAAATTTAAATTTGACAATTTTTAATTTAATCAACAATTGAATTGATTGTTATACACTAAGTATTACTTTGATATCAACAGAAGCCCTGCATCAAGACAACAATTTCCTCTGCAAAATGCCTTTGCTCTTACTGTGCACAAAACCCGAGGATTAACATTACCTCATGCAACTGTCAGCATCGATTAAAATATGTTTGCACCTGGTCAAGTATATGTAGCCATGAGCAGAGTGCCTTCTTGGGATTCACTTAGAATCTTAGATTTTGACTTTTCTAATATAAAAACTGATCAATCTGTAATTCAGGAGTATGCAAGATTGAAAAATGTAAACCAAAGAGGTCTTGGCCAATTAATTAATTAATATATATATTAATATTAAATATGAGAATCTCGGATTTTTTTTTGTATTACACAAATATTATTAATAAAGTTCAAAAAAGCTCACTGCGCATCCTCTGATAATCATGTATTTTTCCGCAAAAATCATTCGCAATCATCAAATCAATTTCTAAATAAGGATAACACACATCAAACCCACCAATAAAATTGGATATTTTCATGATGCTGCGCAAAATTGCGGATGATTTTTGCGGAAAAATACATGATTTTCATCCTTTCATCCTCTGCTTAAAATCTTGTTGTTGATCACTCCCTATTTTAATTACATCGTTTATAATTTCTTTAACTTTATTAAGCAAAGTGGGTATGGTTTCTAAGCTAAAATTAATCCTTGCAGTGAATTCAACATAGGGGTGCCATTAACTCAAGGTACGTTGGTCACGTTTCTATTGTCCACACCCCATATATGGATGAAAGGTTTGTTATATATAGATTAAACTATATGTTAATATATTTATTTAAAAGTAAAATTTAAAAAAAAACAATACTTATTATTTATTTAAAGTAAAAAAATAATAAATAAGCAATAAATAGCTTTTATTGCTTTTCCCTAAATGAAATAATCGATTTTATTATAAATGAATATTGTATTTTCTACCCATAATCCCGAGCCGATTTTAAAGTTACGCGATGAAAATTTTTTTACATATAAACAAGGAGTTTTGAAAAAAAAATTTTTTAAATCCCTGCTTTATTGGACATAAAAAACTTCTACAGGTTTAACCTTTTTTAGAAAAATCAAAAATTCTATTAAACAGAACTCGCAAACTTCCTTTGAATATGGCTAGAAAAATTTTTGGCTTGATGATATTTTTGATGCTTTTTTGCATAGTTTTCCTAAATTATCAACATGTAAATTCTTATAGCATAATTACATACAATGAGAATGAATCTGGTCTTTATGTTTTTAATACAATGTTTTATATAGATGGAACTCTGGTTATTTATATGATTAAACCCATTAATGAAACATGCTTTGAGCCAAAATTTTACATTAGGGTTATTTATGCTAACGGGACAGTAGAAACCTCTACCCAAATATATCCAATACCTGAGTTTAATTTCTGTAAGATTAAGACAATTGATGGTAATAGAGTTACTCTAATGATAATTAAGCTTTTACCAAAATATGGATTGTTAGTTTATACAAATTCTACCAATGTCAATTCATCTGTAACTTATGGAATTTTATTATCTATAAATGGAGAATTTATTAGGTAAAAAAAAATTTTATTATGATTAATTAGCTTTGATTAAAATCATGTATTTTTCCGCAAAAATATCCGCAAATTTGCGCAGCATCATGAAAATATCCAATTTTATTGGTTGGGTGCGTGTTATCCTTATTTAGAAATTGATTTGGCGATTTGCGGATATTTTTGCGGAAAAATACATGATTATGCTTTGATTAAATAAACAAATTTATTAAATCCAATCCAGTGAATTTCATATTGGGGAAACAAGTTTTTATGAAGGTGTATACGGGCACCCATATAACTTTACAGAAAATGAAGGCATTAATGATGGATTCTTGTTGATTAACACTAAAACAGATTCAAATGATCTCCAATGGATTTATTTTAATTTACCGTAATTATTTTATGAATTTAATCAATTATAATAATTGAGATATAAATATTTAAATATTTATAAATATTTAGAAATGAAAATGGAGAAATAACCAAATTGAAAACTGGAACTATTGTCCAAGCACCATTGAAAGATGGAAATTATTTATTGGTTATTTGTTTTCAAGCTTTAAATAATGGATTTGGGATTGTTATTGCTAATACAACAATTACTAAAAATAACAATAGCACAAAAATTGATAAACCAAATCAACCATCAACATCCATATATGTTTCTTTAATATATCCTAATGAAATAGTTGAACAATTTTTGATATATCAATCTGCAGATGTAAATTTAAAAATTGAAATGATGCGTTGTGGTACTGGATATACCATCATAGGATATAGATGTGCTTTGAAATTATCTAAAATTGAAAATTATTGGATGAGAATTTTATTTTCATCAAATGGGTAAATTTTTTATTCAGAACCATCATCATTACATATCACTAGTCATATTTTAATTAATATTAACCTAATATTTAACTTAATAGTGCTGTTAAAAGTGTTGAACCATTAGAATTTGACCAATTTCAAAATTCTTTGCTTCTTATACCAAATCCACTATATTATGGTGGATTTTTAGTCAGCTCTATTTCACAAAGTGAAACATATAAAAATAAATCAACAATAACTGTATATCTATTAGATGATGATTTGAAGATAAATTCAACTTTAGATCTGCCAAATAATTTAACAATTTCATCATTTCTTCCAGAACATTTAAATTTTGGAATGTTACTTCACAATAACACATTTGTTGCAATTATACCTAATGAAAATGATAATAAAAATTGGCAATTAATTTCAACTGAAGTTCCTAAACTTCTGCCAGATGGTATATTATTTTTTATATTATATTTATCATATTACGTTTATCATATATAGAATATTTAAAATCTGATTAAATACCTAATTTAGTTGCTTTTTAATTATTAGATAAAGGATATCTTAATTCACATGTTAACGTTACTTACCCACCAATAAATGGAGTAATAGAAAAAACAGTGAAGAAATCAACATAACATATTATTTATCAATTGTTCCATCTATTAATAATATTACAATTTATCAAACAAATAATAGTTATGATATTTTGAGACAATCATTTTCAGCTAACTTTAAGTGATAACAAAACTCCAGTTAGTAATATTAACGATAGTAATCTTAATTATAATAACAACGATAGGAGAAATTTCATGAAAATTAAAAGTGATGATGATAATATTGTAAAAATTAATAATAAGCTTAG